TCAAGTTCCAACTCTTATCCCAGCTCCATATCTTGTCAATTCTGTGTATTCAATATAGGGGTTGGATTCATACTTACTTTTCTTTTCTTTTCTTTTTCCCCTTTTAACTTTTTATTTTTTAAGTTTCCTCTCTATTTGAGGCTTTAATATTTTATTAATAATTTATTTGGAGCTTTTTAACTTTTTCTTTTAACCATTCCATATACTCATGACTAACCTTTTCAAATCTCCTACCCTTTTGAAATCTCCTACAATAAATAACAGTAAACCTATTTACATCAAGTTTTCCTTCTAATCAGTGTCAAAATCAATTCTATTCAATTTCTTATCCCTTGATTATACATTCACACTTTCCCTTAGTCATTATACTCAAATAAATTAAATAAATTAAATAGCTTATACATATTCTAATCATAAGTAATACATTTACACTTTCCCCAAAAAAATGTCACCTCACATTTATAAATATACTAGCAGTAAAGCCCGTTGTGAAAGCAATACAACGGGATCTAGAAAGAGGCTCTGGGGCAGTGCTCTGGCTTTGGGCAAACAGTGTCAATTTGCTGTGGTGACCTCAGCAGGGTATAATGACAGAGTCCACTGTTTTCTCCAGAGGAACTGATCTCTGCTACCTGAAGAGCAGTTGTAATTGTGAGTAATCTGTAGCCCTCACCTGGAGATTGGCAGCAATTGTTACCCAGGACAAAATGGCTGGTTTGGAGGGTGGAGTCTATGGCATTCTACCTGTCTGAGGTCCCACCCCTCTGCAAACCCCACCCTCTCCAGGCTCCACCCCTCAAATCCCCAGGAATTTGTCAGCATGTAGTTGGCAACCCCATCTCCTTCCCAGCTAGCCACCAACCTACCATTATCTGCCCCTTTGACTTCAGCTGACTTCTGCCCTCCCTTCTGCAGAGCAGTTGTAATACTGAGTGCTCTCCAGCCCTCACCTGGAGATTGGCAACAATGGTTCCCTATGTGGGACTGACTGGTTTGGAGGGTGGAGTCTATGGCAGTGTACCTGTCTGAGGTCCCACCCCTCCTCAAACCTCACCCTCTTCAGGCTCCATCCCTCAAATCTCCAGGAATTTCCCATCTGGAGTTGGCAACCCTATCAGGATTGGCCCCAATGTGTTTTCTCCCAAAGGCCAAAGTAGGTGACAGGACCAAGCTTAGTTGCCTACCAACAGGCACTGAGGGGAATGTAGGGTTGCCAGCTCTAAGGAGGGAAATACCTGGAGGTTTGGGGGGTGGATTCTGTAGAGGGCCGGGCGACGGAGGCATCGGCCTTCTGTCGCCCGCCTTGCCCCCCCAATCTCGGCCCGGGCACCCGCGGCTCCCACCAGCGGCCGCCCGACTCCAGACTCCCCCGCGGCCACTCCAGCCAGGCGACGGAGGCATCGGC